TGGGGAGCTCACTCAAATCCCATTTCTTTTTACGTAAACGCTCCCCAGGATTACCAAATTTCTTCGGGGGAAGGCCACCACCACCTCTTGCACCAAATCTAGAAACATAAAAATTTTTATTTATTAGTATTTTAAAAGCAATATACCTTAGGTGGCATAAAAACAAGCAAAAGATTTTCTCTTAGGATACTACCAGCCCCCTCCAAAGAGTATTTTTTTTATTCTCATTCAAAGGTATGGAAAAATGTTTGTAAAACTTCCGTTACTATCCAGTAATTGTTACAGGTATGATTACAATAGGTGAAAAATTAAAAACTCCTATGTTTAGAAAAATATAGGGATTACAACCAGATTCTGGAATGACTGAAAAGGTGTGAATTTTTATTTTGCCTCTTAGGGATGATTTTGAACAATTTAACTTCTCTGTACCCATTTCTTATGTAGACATACTACTACCACTTATTTCAGAGACTGAGATGAAGTGCTTAAGAAAGTATCTGGCATAGTAAGCGCTCAGTACAAGTTAGCATAACTGTATTCATTCAATGTTACTGTAGTAACTGTAGTAACCGTAGTTACTGTACCAGGTACTGTTTTTGGTGGTGATGGAGACATAAACTGAAAAAAAAAACAAACAGAAGTCTCTATTCCTGTGTAATATTCAGACGTGTAGGCAAGGGAAGACATTAGTTTATGTTTAAAGGCAACAGTGTGGGGCGCCTGGGTGGCTCAGTTGGTTAAGCGACTGCCTTCGGCTCGGGTCATGATCCTGGAGTCCCAGGATCGAGTCCCGCATCGGGCTCCCTGTTCAGCGGGGAGTCTGCTTCTCCCTCTCCTGTTCCCCTCTCTTGTGCTCTCTCTCTAATAAATAAATTAAAAATCTTAAAAAAAATAAATAAATAAATAAATAAAGGCAACAGTGTGGACAGGTAAAAAAATATACTTCAAGCCAAGCTGCTCCACACTTGGAACAGTTTGTTGAACCTTTATCTAGATTGTGTGATAAGCATTCCTATTATCTGCTAATAAGGAAAACTAGGGCCCCTCTAAGACTAGGAGGCTACTCTTCACCTTTAGTTTATGCTAATGAATAGCCGAGAACTGACTTATGACCTCTTCATCTCCACCTTTACTTTCTTTTTGTTCCCAGGGAACTATATTAACTATAAATTTACCCAAAAAATATTAGTCTTATTTAAGGTTTTACTTAAGTTCATTCTTTTTAGTAATCTCTACACCAAACGTGGGGTTCAACCTCAAGGTAAGAGTCACCTGCTCCACTGAGCTTGCCAGGCACCCCTTATTTAAGGTTTAAAAAACTCAAACAAATTTAAAGCCAACCTTTGTTTTATCTAACATTCCTAACGGACAAGTTCAATTGGAATACAAATGACCACTAAGCGAACTTGCAATTTTCTAACTTTTCCTAGAACATGAAGATGGTCTTCATTTTTTGTATTTCAACCTATTAAGTGTGGGGCATTGTTTTGTATACAAGTATACACTTACACTGTTTTCATTCCGTTTCCTTACTCCCGAATTTGAATTTAACTTCCCTTTTCCACTCTAACCCACTCGTAACATCATCTTGCAGATGGTTCCACTTTATAATTGACAGGCAGTAGCTGTGTTATTTTAAAGGGCCTCAATTTCCTGGAATTCAAAGTGATCCTAAAACTTACTCAGCTAGACATTTCTCTAAATACAAACATACAAAGACTGATGGTGGGAAATTTTCTTGGGACTACTGAGCATCTACACTCAATAGGTACAACTTGATGGATTCCATTTATACTACTTAACGGGTAAGAGAGATCAGGAATCAAAACAGAAGCAAAGAAATATACATATATTGAAGATACAGTATCAATGACATCTTCAACTTGCCCTCAGGCCCAAAGCTCAATACTGAATAGCAGACAATCAAAGACCACCTGGATCAACCCCCCCCCCTTTACAAATGATGCAACTAACACAGATCTAAATAGGTAAGCCAAATCTTTAGATTGTCAGCTTAGTTTATAAAAATGTATGTGGTTCCTAGAAGGTGCTGTTTCAATGCTGCTCCTGCACTCCAAGGCTACCCAAACCTTAAACTAATGATCTACAAGAAAATAGAACTCTGGGGGGCGCCTGGGTGGCTCAGTTGTTAGGCGCCTGCCTTCGGCTCAGGTCATGATCCCAGGTTCCTGGGATCGAGCCCCACATCGGGCTCCCTGCTCGGCGGGAAGCCTGCTTCTCCCTCTCCCACTCCCCCTGCTTGTGTTCCCTCTCTCACTGTGTC